TTCCGACTCATAGCGACTCTATAGGACAGAGCAGAACTGCCACATAGAGTTTCAAAGGAGCGGCTGGTGGATTCCAACTGCCAACCTTTTGGTTAGCAGCCAACCTCTTAACCATTGCGCCACCAGGGCTCCTTCTTACACATAAAGTAAGGCTAAATAAGAACCCCTATGCACCTGTTCTGACTCATCTACAAGTTCGACTTAAAGACATAGTTGGGAACGGATCTTGTTCATAACTCGGGGATTGCCTGTATTCCAGATTGCTGGCTGTCCCTAAGTCCTTCTTCTATACCTAACCCTGTCTAAGGTAGCCCTTTCCTTCCTGAAATACCTTCCTCTTTCACAGAACAAGACTTCTCTTACTTTTTTTTTCTCTCACAGTTTTTAGGATAATTCTGATTAACTTCATTATTAAATTAATTTTACTCTTAAGAAAAGGAAAGGAAAGAATTGCCTAAATTCCAAAAAAAAATAATTCTTTCCAGATTCAATTTTTTTCTCACACTCAACACAATTGATGTCAATATGTGCATTGTACATGACAGAATGTAATAAGAAACAGATGATTTTCCTCCATGTTCACTCCCCATCTCCTCATTTTAATTATGTAACTCATGTCCACAATTTTAGAAGGCATCACTTCCCAGCAAGAGGTGCCTTTGCAGCTAACTTCTCAGCACAATAAAATGTATAGAATCGGTATGTGTAACTTCTGCTTTACTTCCTTAAAATGTATATGCTTGCCTCTCACGTCTTCTCTTTCTGCTTTCCCATTTGCTTGCTGAAAGCGAAGAGGACTTGAAGCATTTACTGATAAAGATCAAAGACCACAGCCTTCAGTATGGATTACACCTCAACATAAAGAAAACAAAAATCCTCACAACTGGACCAATAAGCAACATCATGATATATGGAGAAAAGACTGAAGTTGTCAAGGACTTCATTTTACCTGGATCCACAATGAACACCCATGGAAGCAGCAGTCAAGAAATCAAACGACACATTGCATTGAGCAAATCTGCTGCAAAAGACCTCTTTAAAAGTGTTAAAAAGCAAAGATGTTGCCTTGACGACTAAGGTGCGCCTGACCCAAGTCATGGTATTTTCAATCGCCTCATGTGCATGTGAAAGTTGGACAATGAATAAAGAAAACCAAGGAAGAATTGACGCACTTGAATTATGGTGTCGGCGAACAATACTGATATGGACTGCCAGAAGAATAAACAAATCTGTCTCGGAATAAATACAGCCAGAATGCTCCTTTGAAATGAGTACGGCAATACTTTGTTTCGTGTACTTTGGACATGTTATCAGAAGGGACCAGTCCCTGGAGAAGGACATCATGCTTGGTAAAGTAGAAAGTCAGCAAAAAAGAGGAAGACCCTCAAGGAGATAGATTGATACAGGGGCTGCAACAATGAGCTCAAAAATAGCAACAATTGTGAGGATAGTGCAGGACTGGGCAGTATTTTGTTCTGTTGTATATAGAGTCACTTGGAGTTGGAATCGACTTGATGGTATCTAACAACAAAAACATTCCCATTTAAAGGAGTCCCTGGGTGGTGCAAACAGTTAAGTGCTGGGCTACCAATCAAAAGGTTGGTGGTTTGAACCTACCCAGTGGAGCCATAGAAGAAAGACCTGGTGATTTGCTTCCTAAAGACTATAGCCGTTCTACTCTGAAACGCATGGGGTCACTATGAGTCAGAATCGACTCGCTAGCAACTGGTTTGGGTTTTTGTGGTATTTACATTTACACCCATTGTTTCAGAAAGCTTCAAGGCAGCAGCCATTAACTTGAGGGATAGAGGTATGGACAGTCATAAACCAAAACCAAACCAAACCTGTTGCTGTCGAGTCGATTCCTACTCATGGTGACCCTGCAATCTCATGTTATAGAGTAAAACTGCTCTGTAGGGTTTTCTTGGCTATAATCCTTAAAGAAGCAGATCGCCAGGGCTTTCTTTTGTGGTGCTGCTGGATGGGTTTCAGCTGCCAACCTTTAGGTTAGCAGTTGAGCACAAAATATTTGCGCAACCCAGGGGCCAGTCACAGAGACTGATAAATAAGACTACTGGTTTAAGAACTATACCCAGAGTAGCTCTTTGGCTGAAAGCCAAGAGACCAGAACTACCTATTATGTTTTTGATGAATTTATATCTCCAATGTTGTGGTCACCTCCTAGAGGCAGAATGTAACCCCTAGTAAAAATCTGGTTCGGATGTCGAGATTGATTATGCCACACACACACCAAGAGGGTATGAAAACGATTTATTACTCACATAATCAGATTTTCTGGAGACAGCAGAGCAGGCTCCCAAGCAGGTCCAAAAACGGCTTGACCAGCTCGGCTTTTACTGTGGTTGAAAGTGGGCCTGGGGTGAGGGTTCCCGCATACAGGTCTGTGCTTGCGTGGTTTGAACTTCCCATGAGGCCAAAGGAGAAGGCACCAGGCATTATTAGCTTGCCCAGATATGGGGCTTAAGGGAAAAGGGGAGTGGTGAGGCTTGTAAGCTGTTAGCAGTCAAACATCATAAATGGACTCAGATTTTTTTATTACAGCCAAGTAAATTACAATCTTGGCCTATAAAAGCTTGTATTTATTCAGTCCCTAAGGCAGTTTCTAGGTCTACAAATCTGCACCAGCAGGGAGGGGGCTGCAAAAGCTATCACGCCCCCAAGAAGTTTCAGATGTGGCCCTGGAGAATAATGGGCAAGAATTTCCTAGAGGTCAAACGAGGGGTCACAAAGGGGAATGGACAAGGGAGTTTCTCCCAAAGAGCAGTTTCAAGGTTTAGCCAAAGACCTTCTTTCCTGCCAGGACAGGGGATCTTTGCTATCCTGCTCAGCAAATTGTCATTATGGCGCGGGCCACTGACTGATGTTCCTCATTCTTGTTACTTATCCTAGTATTCATTCTCCCTTTCTTCTTTTGGTGATAGAACCTCTACCCCAGAGTTTTAGTAGGGCATTTCTATCTAGCTAGAGACACATCCCAGCCTTCCTTGAAGCTAGGCATAGCTATGTAGTAAGTATTGATGAAGGGAATATGAGCAGAAGTGACCAGTGAAACTTTCTTAAAAGGAAATTGTTTGCTCCCAACGTCCTCTCTTTTCACAGGCTGGAAAGTGGATGTGCTTCTTTGAGTTAGCTTCAACGGTGGAGATGAACAACACCTTCAGTAATGAGAGAACAAGGTAGGTAAATTCTAGGCCTCTTGATTACCTTGTGCCCTAGACTTCTCAACTACCTCTGAATTTCTATGTGAGGAAGAAATAACCTTCTATCATACTTGAATCATCCTATTTTGGGGTCTCTTTGTTATAGCAGCTTAGCCCATTTTGTAACCGATCCAGGAGAAAATTAAAATATTAAGAACTTTAGCTTCTTTACTCTTATGACCTTGTAAGTGTCCTTTTCTGTTCCTTTTAGGTTTTACTTTTATCCAAGTATTTATCCAAGTATAAATAAGGAGCCTCAAATTTAACTGGCTGTAAGGAAGTAAGACTCTAAAACTACATGTGACCATATGAATTCAGTATGCTTCTCCTCTTTCCCAAGAACCAATCTACAGAACATAGTGGAGCATACTCCTTGGGCCTAAATGGAAGAATTGTATGAGTATCAAACTAATAAACGAAAACTCAGATCAACATATATCAACTATCCTATTTTCCAACACATAATGTATGCCCATACACCATTAAGTTTTATCTACTCTCTACAATCATTTTTTCCCAAAGATGAAATAGACAGACTTTATCACTCCCAATAATAGGTGATGCAAAAATGATGATTTTCTCTGACTTTCAGTTTTGTGTCACTGTATGCTTCAGAAGGTTTCTGTATGTTGCTAAGACAACCGGGATGCTGTGATAGAAAACTGGGATTGAAGTTAAGGCACTCTAGCTGCCTCAAAGGATGTCATAAATAGTGTGTTCAAGGCCTTTTCACAGTGACATCTGAAGCACTTGAGTCAGAAAAAAATGAAGACTGTATTCACTCAACATCCTTCCAAAGAAGTCTATGACTCTCTCAATTACTTGCATTTTAAAATTATGAAAACATTGGTATGAGGACTAAAAGGAAGCCATCATTCAACTAATATGTATCTTTTTTTAAGAATCCTGTGGAAATAACAGAGGCAGCTTGTCCTTAAATTCCAATTTTCCTTAAGAGAAGCAGGTCTAGAGGATAGCAGACAAAACCAAAAAGAAATTAAGTTGTCAGTTGTTCCTCCACTAGAAATTTATCTTTCATCTAAAAAACGTTTGATTCTAGCTGGTAAGTAAAAAGGATACACTGGTTGTTCACTGAGGCCTGTGACTGATATCTGGAATTTGGCTTTCTGAAGAGATGCAAAGAAGTATGGTTCCATTAATGAACTTTTCGATAAAGGCACAGAAAGCTTCAGCAGCAGCAGTGTGGAGCTGGGCTGCGTTGCCAGGAAGGTCCAAGCAAATGGAACCACTGCAGCAACCTTCCTGTTTTAATACTGATGACATTAAGGCAAGGACAAAGAAAACAAAAGCAGAATGCTTGAACTGATTTTGAATATGCTTTTCTGACCTGATAAATAAACAAAACATCAACTTAACTAAGCTGAAGAGTGTCCTTCTCACAGACATTCTGTTGCACTGAAATAGAACCCATCAACAATAACATGAACAGATGAATAAAGGAGCAGTACTTAGAGCTAGGACAGGCCTTGTTCAGAATCATCTCCGTCTCTTAAGAAATAACCTGGTGAGAAATAATGGTTAGGCAAAAGCAAGTATGGGAGGATATGTTTTTCCAGTCTCAGAGGGTCCCTTGATTAAGAAGTGACTGGAGACTGAGTTAACAGTGAGAATTCCTTTTTAAACAGGAGAGTCAAAAGGTACTCTTTAATGACAGAAATTGAGGATTATACAATGAGGTCCAGACTTGTGCAGGAATCCTCGTCTCCAAGAAAAACTTTGATCTGGCAGAATCAAACGAAACCCAGAGGATCCTTTTTCACCCTGGTGTTCTAAGCATAAAAAAGGAAATTAAAAAAGAACACAGACCACTCTATTTTAATGTTTGTAAGTAGCATAAATCATAATGGTTTGTATACTACACTGTACAAATAATATACTGTACTTTTCCAAAGAAAATTAACTTCTTATAGGGTTTCCTGAAATGATTACTCCACACAGCTAAGAGCTTGACCCATTAGCTACTGCTACTACACACAGAATACAATCTAGGAGGCTCCACATCTTGCAGTTGTGCCTGTTTCTGCTGCCATCAAAGCAGGAGCCTCTCGGAAATCTCTCACGGACCCTTCCATCTCCTGCGCCGGAAACACGGGCTCTGCAGGTGGATGTGCGCCAATGAGTGCAGCTTCTGTGCTTTGCTTTCCACAAGCCTACTACCCTTTAAGAGAATTTGCGCTTCTTCATGGCTTCTGCTTTGACTGCCAGGCTCTTGGCACAGATGGTCAGGAGCACAATGAGAACGCCCACCACAAATGTCACCAGGGGCCAAAGGAAGCAATGCAGGAGGACAATTTCATCATGCGTACGATGCAGGAGCACGTCGTCTGGTCTGCAAGACAGTGGAAAAGACGAAAGAAAGGTCAATTGCCATGGCATGACACTGACAACTCATTACAACCTGGGGTCAGACTTGCTTTTCAGCCCAAAGGGAATATCATCACTGAAATTCACCTCCAAGTGAAGACTTCACTCTAACTGTAAATATTATACTCTGTGCTTTACACCCATCACGAAATGGTTCCAGCTCTTGAATCAAGTAATTGGGGCAAATTTGCATGTTATTTATAATGTAATTTATGTGTTCTAAAATGTCAAAAGTTTTGTTGTTGTTGTGTGCCAATTCCTAGTAACCCTATGGGCGAGCATTCTCGAACAAACTCAACCTAGACCTCAGCACTTAGGTGGGGTCCAAATGATCTTAATTAAGAAAAAAAAGTTAAATGCACCCTTTGAATTTAGTCATAGAAAGGCAGATGGTGTAACCCTCAGGTCAGCTCAGCTTCACTGTGTCAACTAAGATTTTTTAAAAACAGTGAGCAGACGAGTGAATGAGTGAATTTAATACATTCTTACAAGTTTCTGGGTTGGTTTAATCATCATTTTAAAAGAAAAATCTGACCACTTTCTTGATAAATCTTGCAAAGTCTTAGCAATACAGTTTTATCTTATAAATGTGGGACTCTATTTTTCAGTTTGGAGTTCCTGGGTGCGCAAATGGTTTATGTGCTCAGCTGTTAACCGAAAGGTTGGAGGTTTGAGTCCACACAGAGGCACCTGAACAGAAAGGCCTGGCAATCTACTTCAGAAAAATCAGCCATTGAATACCTTATGGAGCACAGGTCTACTCTGGTGCACATGGGGCCACCATAAGTCAAGTCAACTCAACAACTGGTTTTATTTTTCAATTCCAGCATTGGTCTCATTCATAGAAAGCGAAGATAAGATTCATTCCACATCTTTGGTCATCAAAAAGACAGCCTGGGAACTTAACTTTCAATCAATAGGTTTATATTTTGCAAGACATTTCCATTTCACTCACAGGAAGATTTGTTCTGTTACTAGTGCAGCAGTACTTCCTCTAGAAATGGAAAAAAATAATTAGTCCAATGGCCCTCAAGAATATCAATAGCTTTAGAGTACCAGGGCAATGTCTTTAACAGAGAGGCCCTTTCCTGAGGAGCTCTCATTAGTCATGGCTGTCGTAACTCAGGACCTACTCTCCCAGAAGACTGACAAAGGATGTTGGGTGTTTCTCTTCTACCTACAGTGGAGCCATCATGTGGCACTAACAAAACCAGTTTCTGCAGGCTGGCTTTGAAATTGCATAATCCTTGCCTTTGGTGCTTTTGTTTTGTCTGGCTTTTTTGCATAACATTTCAATTTTTGCACATAAAGTAAGATTTTTCATTGAGATTTTACTCCATTATTATTACAATTAAAATCTGTATTAAATAAATGCAGAGTCATTGTAATAATGAAGCAAGTCATCCCAGCTTGCAAAGATCACTTCTTTTTCTGAGTTCCGGTAGCAACAAATTGTCTTCAAGACTTGTGTTGCCATTAATACATATGTATATGTTAATATACATATCCTTTTTTTCAAAAAGGCCCTCAAGGGCTGTGACTTTGTCACTGCCTGTTATTCCACACATGTTGCTGTTACTGTTGAGTTGATGACTCCATGTATAAAGAACAAAACATTGCCCGCACCTGCACCATCTTCATGATCCTTGGTATGTTTGAGTCCATTGTTGCTGTCATTATGTCAATCCATCTCACTGAGGCTTTCCCTTGCCTTCACTGACCCTCCACTTTATACTCGTTGCCATCGTGTCACTTCCAACTCATAGCAACACTCCACTTTACCAAACATATTTTTTTCCAGCGATCGGTCCCTCCTGATGACACGTCCAAAGTAAGCAAGTGGAAGTCTTTGACACTATTCTGTGATCCATATAGTTTTCACTGGCTAATTTTCAGAAATAGATCGCCAGGCCTTTCTTCCTAGTCTGTCTTAGTCTGGAAGCTCCACTGAAACCACGGCCCACCACAGGTGACCCTGCTGGTATTTGAAATACTTACAGCATAGCTTCCAGGATCATAACAACAACCACAACAACAAAACCAAACCCCTTGCTGTCAAGTCGATTAAGACTCATAGCGACCCTAAAGGACAAATTAGAAATGCCCCATAGAGTTTCCAAGGAGTGGCTGGTGGATTTGAACTGCTGACCTTTTGGTTAGCAGCTGAGCTCTTAACCACTGGGCCACCAGGGCCCCTTCAGGATCATAGCAACACACAAATCATCACAGAATGACGAACTGACAGATGGGTGGTTGATTCTACACATAGCTGTTGGTAAGTGACTACTTGCTATTGACAATGATGGGGAAACTGCCCCTGTCGCAGCCTCAGTTCTTATCCATGCAAATTTTCAAGAGACTTCATGCCTTGAGTCTAAAAAAGCATCAGCCAAGGTCCAAAAACAGGGCACAGGATAGTCATAGTCACATCGTACAGTCTTTGAAATTCCAATACCCAGTATTGCCACATTTCTTTTCCCAGCTACTAGTGTTCACAACTGTTAGATGTTGCTACCTAAGTGTGCAAGGGATGGTAACCAATTGTCTCAGGACAATCTTTTTTTTCTGTGAAGGACTACATTACTCCTCCATTTATTGGCACACAAATAAGTCTCAGATTCATCATCAGAAAGGGGGGAAGGGAGAGTTTGGAATTTTAAAAACACTACTTTAATAAATTTGCATGTGATTTCCATAAGTAATGTGTTCTTTTACAACAAATTTTCTAGTAAAAAGCTCCAGTTTGGATTCTCCTTTGTATTCCTTCTCTAGTTACTATTGTTGATGTTGAAGCCTATACCACAAAACAGCCAGGGATGAGAGTGGATGAAACCATTTATCCATATGTTCTGAAAGCCAGTTCAAGGACTACTTACTAAAAAAATGTGAGTGACAGGGAGAGTAGAAGAGAAGATAATAACTGGAAAATGCTGGACCCCGATATTTTATTTAGAAACTCTTGGCATCCTCTCCCACCCCATCAAAGAGGATAGCCTTTATTTTAATGTTTCAAATAACAAAGATGAGATCGTTAGCTTTGAGTTGTTGTTGTGAGGTGCCAATCTAGCTGATTTTCGATTGGTAGCAATCCCATGTGACAGAATAGAACTGCCCCATAGGGTTTTCTAAGCTGTAATTTACGGGAGCAGATGGCCAGGTCTTTCTCCCATGGAGCTCCTGGGTAGGTTCCAATGGCCAACCTTTTGGTTAGCAGTTGAATAATAAACCATTGCACCACCAGGACTTTTTAACTCTGAGTTAGCCATGTTGAATTTGTAATTGATTCAAAAGCTTTCTTTGAGGTACAGGTATTATATATATGTAAGTGTACATATTTCTTTAAAAATAATTCATTTCTGTTTCCATTTCATACAGTTCTAAGATGCCCCAAAGTCTCTTTCCATAGGAAAAAGTTATTTCTCTGCATGGTAATACTCCAGTTCATCATTTAGTTATATGATTTATTGATAGTATCTCTAAATTGCTCCTGTGTAAATTAAAAGTTTGGCCTTAAGTGGGCCTTATGAGTAAATTGAAGTCACTCACCTGTCTCAGTTTTCCCCAACTCTATCAGGCAGCTTTCAGATTGTTTCATCAAAAACTATTTGCAAAGGGGGTTGGGCTTAGAATTCAGTTTTCCATAATTATATGGTGGGGACTGAAGAAAAACTTTTTTAAAAGTCACTGTTTCCCACATTTGGCAAACTGAATAAATGGCATGATCTAGCTTTCTTGATTTCTGGATGTGATGTAGTGAACTCAGGATGGTGATGAGGATGTGGATGATAAGCAAAAAAGATGATTACTTTGCATCAAAGGGCTTCAAAAAAGGAAGCAGGTGGTTTGTTTTAGGGGTGTAGGAATACTAAGGGAAGGCACTTTTAAACCCTGAGGAGGAGGTAAAAATATCATAAAAGAAGAGTAAGAGCTGAGAGTACCCTTAGAAACATTTTCCTAAGGGTTGGTCTTATTCTGAGCTAAGTTTGAAAATACACTGTAGAAGTAATAATAATAATAAAATAATAATAGCATTTATTAAGTGTTTACTACATGCCAGGTGCTATGCTAGGACACTTAATCTCATTTGGTTCTTAAAATAATCCTTTGCTGGAGGAATTTTTATTTCCATTTTACATTTGAAGAAATGGAGGCAAAGAAAGGTTAATTAATTTGTCCAAGATTAACCAAACCAAACCTGTTAACCCGACTCATAACAACCCTATAGGACAAGATTATATAACTGAAAAAATTACACAATGATTTGAAACCTCATCAATATGATTTCTAAGCCTGTACTATTTATCCCTAAGCCGGCTTTTTCAAATTAGAATCATTTAGGGTGCTTGGTGGTGGTTGTTGTTTTTTTTTTAATTAAAAAAAAAATTATTGTAGCAAATATATATGTAAGAAAACATTTGGCATTTCAACAACCTCCACATGTACAGTTCAGTGACATTAATCATGTTCATCATGACATTCAACCATCACCCTTGTCGGTTTCCAAACTGCACCATCACTGAGGGTGCTTGTTTACATGCAGCTTCCTGGGTCCCAACCCAGTTTTTTGAGAAGCTCCTCAGGTGATTTTTACATATAGTAAAGTTTTAGAACCACTGTGCAACGTTTTAATACATTTTAAAAAGTACTATGAAACATGAAGCTACCAAGCTGGTTAATTTCAAAATTGCCTAATTGATACTTACGGTCATTTTCATGGCCTCCGCATACCTCTGTGCAGCATGTACATGGCACAAAGGTGCCCAGAGATAAGTAAGAGAGTAGGAGAGGCTGGTACCGCGGTGGGCTGGAAATCTGGCCTGTAATGCTACATTTACCCAAAGAAGTTCCTTTTTTCTAATCAGCAGAAAAGTACCCCATGTGCTAGCAGTGGTCCTGGTCATACCAGATAAAGAGACAATGATTTGGGTTTATCAGCCTAAATATAGAAAATATATTCCCTTTGGC